GGACTAATCACTATCAGTAAACAAATATTTTAAGAGAAAGTTTCACACAGCACTTGCGTGGCAAGAAATTAGCTATAAAAATCAATTATGCATCATTATCATCAGACAGTATGTAACCTCATCTCAGGAAATACAATTCAAACCTCTGTTCAAGTGAAGACACCTCATTCAGCAACTGAAAGCTTGGCCAGAGACACATTATTACTTCACAGAGGCTACTAACCCCATCCTGCTGGGGAGGCAAAAAGGAATCTTAAAGCAAAAGCATAATAAGAGAAAGTCAGTCCTTGGCAATCTGAAAATCAGACTCCAGAGTGTAAGTGATGCAAATGTACTTATCCTTACAAAGAAACAGAAGTATATATTCCATAGTGAATGGCTATATTTCACCCTGGAAGCAAGCTCTGCTATGATATTAATTACGTAAAGAGAATAATTTAAACTTCAGTGAAATGTGGTGCAGCACAGCTCTATTTATGCTATACACAGGTTTATGAGGAAGAAAGCGAGGAGTGTCAGATCCTTTATTCCTACAAACTTAGTAGTTTTAGCATAGTATATAAACTCTGATTTACCCTGGCAGAGAGGAAGGTTTAATGAACTTGATTCAAAGTCATTGGAAATTAGTGGAAATTCTTACTCTGAATTTCACGGTCTTTGGAAGCAATTTCTATGCAGGAAGTCTGAAAACTGTAATCTTTGCTGTAATTAACATTTTTAAGTAGACACTTCTTTCTTGAGGCAGAAACTATCTTTTGTTTAGCGTTCAATACTATAGAGATTTAGTACTTAACAGTTGACTTAGATTATGGCTTTATATGTCTAACAATATACAAATATTCCCACTACAAATTATTTAATTACAATAATTAGATGATAAACTGGCAGCTATACACTTCCAGTAAGCTTGAAAATCTATCCATTATTGCTGTCAGTTTCTTTGCTTGGTTTTTGCTCTCTTATAGAGAAGACAGCACTATTAAATTGGAGAGATATGTATACATATAACAGATTAAAACAAAATCAGAACTGACGCATCTGTAGATCCAAGAAGCACCAAGAATAAATCCACAAGAGCTGCTTTTCCAAAGATGCATACAAACAAACTTAGAAACTTGTATACCATATTTTATTGCTCTGAAATAGATGCAAACAAAGGTTCAATTCAGTTAAGAATTTCGAAGTTCCTGTTGCTGTAACTTGCTTCCCTATGAAATGGAATTACTATAATAGGTCTCACTCTATTCACGGTGGTCTTATTGACAAGATATATTCTCAGGAAATCTTATAATGAAAATCTATAACCTGCACTTCTTCTGACTCAACAATAGCTACTACTAGAAAAATAGATCAGGAAGCAAGATTTGAAGGTCACTGTATAATAGAGGAATAAAAAAGCTGACCATTTCGAACAATGTAACAGCAGCACCAGAAAGAATATATAGAGAGATAACAGCTTCAGACAGCACTAAACATTAGAGGCAGACAGGGTTGGAACAGATCCAGCATTCAGGGCTGAAATATGGACCAACCCAACTGTTGTGTGTGTGAAACCTAGCGCCAAGCTAGAAAGCTGAAGCACATTTTACAGCTGAAATTTCCAAGCAGTGTCAAGTCTGTCTCCCAGGGCAGCAAAAGTCGAGCAAAATGCTTTTAAAATGAAGGAATAAGCACATTTTCCCTTTTTCATTTTCTCCATTTTCCATTTTTACTCCCTCTCCCCTTTCCCTTTCTTCCCCTTACTAAATGGTTATCTTTTCATAGTCCATTTATTTTCTGGAAGGAATCAAGAAGTATTTGTTCACTCAGAAGATACCGCCTCCACACTTGTACTTTCCCCACTGCCCTCCAGTGTATTGGCAGCAGCTGCACATCTCTGCCAAGGAAAATTTCTGTTCTTAATTTCTGCTCGCTATGATCTCCTTTTGTTTCCCTTGAAATTTATCTTCAGCTAAGCTGCACTGTTTTTTTTATTGCCACTGCTTCTGGTTATATATTGTTGAGTTTTTCTTTGCTGGTACTCTATGAATTAGGTGGATGTTTTTCATTATTTCTCTGTGAGGAAAAAAAAAAGCTATTCTTTTATTTGAGAATCCTGACATTTATTAGCATAGTAAAGCTCTCAAGATAAAATTGCGGTTTTCCAGACAGTAATTTCATTTGCAAGGGAACTTACAATGAATTTATTCTAAAGTCAAGTAAAATCTAAAGTGAGAAATGAATGGAATACCAACAGAAAAAAATAGAAAATTAATAGAATTATATGTTTAAGAAAAGAAAATGATGCTGTTGCCTTATACATGTTAATTAAATTGAAGCAGGACACACTAGCTGAAGAGCTAGCTTTCCAAGCCTTCTTACCCATGAAGCAAAATGTAGACAGTTGCTGAGATTATATCACTAGATATAAAAAGCTGCATTATTATCACTGTCTTTGTGAATTCCTTATAGAATTCTATATTCTGTCTAAAAACATTCCCAAAATTGTGTACAGTAACTTAAGTAATATTCCAAAGAGGAGAATGTGTTTTGCCTTTTTTAAACTTCATAAACACAAAATACTGGTCTGCAAAGATGTCTAGGTGTGTAAATACCACCTTAAGTACCCAGTAGTCTTTAGACCCTGAGTCCCCATTCACCTCCATGCTCAGCTGCTGCTGTATGGCCCTAGAGAGAAATCTATGGATACTTAAACAATTTTTAAGGTTAAGAAGTGAAGTACTTAAAGTAGCTAAAGGTCCATTTCTTCTGTGACAAAACAGATGCTGCTGTGAATCCCAGTAAGAGGTTGAGCTGGTTCTTAGATTCCTGTGGAGCAGGAGCAAGCACAGAGCTATCTTCTTGGAGGAAGATACTGGGGCTCCCTGGAGGGAGGCAGCTAGCACTTAGCAAATCTTCTATTAGAAAAAGCAATTTTCTCATTCACTGTGATGGATTTTTCAGATTCCAAGTCTGAAAAGCATGGTGCTCTGCACCATTCTGGTAGGTGGATTCAAGTGTCTGCATATACCTATACTATGTATATTGCAATCCCAGGTCAGACCTATCTCTTTAGGTTTCTCTTTACAAAGGACTCTGTGTGTTTAACAGAGGCTATAGATATTACTAGCGATCTAAATATGTGTTACTATATTCAGAATTACAGAGGTGTATTTCGTTTTAAAGATCCAGCCCCAGGTAATCTCCAGAAAAACACACTTCGACAAAATTCCAACTCAACTCTTATATCTTGATCCTGCTGGGTCTGGGCCCAGCTGCAGGATCACTTTACTTCTCAAGCTATCAGACATAGCTGAAAAATGTCCTATTTCTGTAAATAAATCTAATCAGTATGAAAAGATCAATTGTATTCATCTCTGAGCATTACACACGAGGAACCCCAGCTAATAAACATTGCTAATTCGCTGTGTCCTGACTTCCTTTATTATAAGCTGTTATCCTTTAAACATCTTGAACCAGGCCCGTAAAAGATCCAGAAAATGTCCATCTGAAAATAGTACCAAGAAAGTGCCTACCAGAGGCATGACTATGAGCCTAGCCAGTGGGCACACAGCTATTTCCCTCATGTCACACTGCACTCTTGGAATGAATCAGTTACGCACAAACTGACACAACATAGCTTTTGGAAATACTGCTCTGCATGCTAGATGTTTGGAGCTGAGATGTTTGGAGCATTTCTATGTGGACACTCATGGGAATAGAGCAAGATGCACAGAAAGGCAGTAGTATCTGTTCTGCAACTATTTCACTACTTATATTTTATAAATTGGCTATCTCAGTAGCATCCAGCTGACCAAGGAAACAATGCAGGATTACATCTATACAACTCACTGAGCTCTGGGCTGTCAGGTCACACACTTCAGGAGGCCAAATTAACTGTTGTGATGAGTTTGCTTGTAGTCCAAACACTAAGCAACTACTTTATATACATTACAGCCTTCAGATCTAGTCTCATGCTTTTTAGTTTGTAGAGATATCACAAATGCATCAAGAACATATTACATTTTTGAAAGGATAAAATAGCATCAAAGTGATGTTATTACTTTTATCTTTTCTAGGGATGCACATTCCACCCCGTCCTTTACTGGTAGCTCATCTAGAAAAAATATTTGGAACTACGGCCAAAGAAAACCAGGACTCTTGAGCATGTATCTGGCATGGCAAAAAGCTCAGAACAAAACAAGGTCAGTGGGAATTGTGATGGTTGGTACAAATCAAACCAGAATGAACTGCACATCCTTAATGCACTGCTTTAAACTTCAAATTTACTCCCATTCAGGAAAACTGTATTTCCCCCACTGAGTGATTTGTAAACTTTATGTTCTTCTTAGTAACTGCTTCTGTTAGGCTAACTACTTCAGAATAAAGTAACTTCCTCTAGAGGAATAAAATTATTCCAAGACATCTGGGCTGCATGAGACCTTAAACAAACCTTATTCTGACTACTTGTACTACAGTGAACTTCGCAGAGCTGAGATCCAAAGCAGAATAACAAGTTTCTAGCTATACCTAATCATTTTAAAGCAATCATAAACTACCAAGTGACATTTTATGACTGTGTTACCATAAGTGTATCACTGTGATGAGACTATCATTGGAAACTGAGAAACCCTGCATCGGGAAAAAATACTGTTCAATGATATTGATACTTCATACAATACTCTATGAATATTTTCCATACTTGTTGCTGTTAGAAGTATGTAATTTTGTATTTTCAATATTAGACATTAGGTGAAAATTAAGATAGTACCTTCGCTTTCAATGCAACTGTCTCCAAGCCCTGAAAACATTTCTGGGAATACTTCCCATTTGTTGTAATCTGCCAGGAATTTATCACTTTCAGATATGAAATAGAAATATCTTGGATGTTCTAATTAGGATAGTTTTGGCCACAAGACAAGTGGCTTTGAAAGTTCTTTTCCTTTTGTAATTTGCATTTATTTTTGTACCTACACATTTTTGTAGCTACCCCAAATTTATTCCTATTAGTCCTAGATCAGTTATTCAAATAAAGGGCTGTAGTCTGGTGGGCTCTTCTGCTGCCCACATGGCTCCAACAGTAACTCCCCACCTGAAGATGTGATGATTTCCTCCTAGAAAGACAAAAACAATTAAAATAAGACTTACAGATGTCTAAATACATGCTTGTCGTCTAAAAAAGCAACTGATAGGAATGAAAACCATAATTCAACTGTAACAGGTAACCAATTACGAATAAATGCTTGATAAAACATACAGAGCAGTAAAAGGGTCCTATTGACTATACATTTCTTCTTGATTTATTTTGTACTTGTGCCATTGAAAATTTGTGCTAATATTAATTAGTGGATTCAAATACATTAACACATTAAAAATACATTAATACATTAATGTGCAAAAAAATCTGTGATTTGAACTACCTGTAGGTTGTTATGCAAAGGGAAAGAAAAATTTTATAGGTAACTAAAAGAGAAAAGCAATATTAAAACATGAAAAAGATGGAGAAGGAGATATAAGAAGATAAAAACAACCTACAGTATCAGAAAGAGTGCTGCCTTTTAGTGACAGTCTGGCAATATGAAACAGGAGTCAGAGGTAAGTAATTCAGACCCATCGAAATTCACTGAAAACTCATAGTAAATGATTCCCCTAAGACAGCTGTAAATAATAAGGAATGACTCTTTGCACAGTTTTTAAAAGAACCCTTCCATATTCTCTTTTTTTACTATTGTGCCCCAATGCTTTTGTCTTATGTTTTTGCATGTTATGGCCCTCAAAGGCTGAAAAATGCTGAAATATCATTAAAAGTTCTTTCTTATGATATTTCTAGTCCTATTTTGCAGAGAGAAGAGGCTCAAAAAGTTTTAGCTCTGTCAGCTCTCAGGCCATTTTTTAAAGCAGGCATCGCGTGTAAGGATGTGGCACAAAGGTTACACAAATACATGCTCAAAGCCTGAAAGAACATGAGAAGCTTCCTGATTCACGGCAGAAAAAAAAAAAGGCAAAAAACAAACAAACAAACAACAAAAATAAAACCCCAAACAAACACAAGCTCTAAGTGTTACACCTAGGCCTATTGTAGAAACATATTTATATATCTAAACAGACGCACATATTTTTTCCCCACTATGCTTACTTCTACTTTCCAGCTTGGTTTCCGATTACATGGTTCCTCTTTAAATTATTAATTCACTCCAGTCATCTATTGATCTCTGCCAGCAAGCATTACCTTGTGAAAATCAATAAGATCTGTGAGGGTTGCGTGTCGGTTTGGATCTACCCCCAAGAAGCTGTAGAAATCCCCCGAGGCGTCAACCAGAAAGTGTTTGAACCCACTTTGTTGGCGGTAAGACAACGCGTAGCCCCAGATCTTCTCACTGACTCGCACCAGGAACGATCCCTCTGACTTATTCATTAACAGCTCTTCTGCCTCCTGGCGGCTGATAATACCTGCAAGAAAAATAACCCTACAGTCATGCGGATGGCAGCTTTGGCAGACCTTAGCAACAAATGAAGTAACACAGAGCAGTGGTGAGACTAAAATTGTATTAGCTTCTCAAATGCGCTGGTTTTAGGAGAGGTTACAGCTACAGAGATCACTGTATTTTACTATATTGTAATTACTACCCAGTTTTGAAAAAAATCTGTAAGAGTTTTGACGGAGAGCTGATGAGGAAAAATTACTTTTTAGAAAAGTGCATAAACACAACTAAGCCACCAAACAAGTGACTTCTGTACAAGTGATCGTTTAGCTGTACTAACATGGTTTGGTGTTACAATTTCAATTTGTAATACCTGGCTGATAATTGTAATTATATTGCAGTACTTCTGACTGAGTTCTTAGTGTTGTTTTACAGCTGTTTTACACATCATAAGAAAGGAATATAAAGTGCCAGGAATTTGTTTTTGTACATACATATATCCACATGCACACAGAAAGAGATACATGTAGACACATTGAAGCACAAAAATCTTGTAATTAATAGAGCTGCTAACAGAGATGGATATGGTAGATTATCTGTTCAATTTCTTACATTTATAGGGAATATTGTTACAGAGTAAAACAAGAAACAAGATCACAGTCCTTTTGGGATCTTCCAGATTGCATCTCAGAGTAATAACCCCTGTAGTTAAAATCTCTGTAGCCGTGGAGTAACAAAGTGCTAACAAAAAGAAAAAAAAAGGATTGGATATTGTATTTGCTGACCAGACATGAGCTCATCTTTACAGTTCATGATGAGTTATGCACTTTGCTCCAGGACAAGAGAAGCCAAGAGTCACTTGAGGCTTCTTGTACATAGCTGTAATCCTGTGATCCGATGATATCCTACAAGCTAAGCCCTCTGAACAACAGATCAGGGAACAAACTCCTTCCCCATGCCCTAATCGCCAAGTGGTTGTTTGATAGATGAATTCATTTCTTTGCTGTGTGGCAAATACATTTTTCAGGTCAAAAGAAACATCACAATTGCAGATGTGCAGAGCAAGCAAGGGATAAAGTTTAACAGAAGGGAGCTTTCAGATTTCCCAGTTTAGTCATCTCTGTTGGAAAGATCATCTCTCTTTTTTTCTTTTCTTCCCTTCTTTCCTTTCTGATTCTAGGGCATAATATTGGACCTGCCATAGGGACTTCTGCTTGCAAACAGCATATAACATAAATTCTGAAGTACCAAGGAAAAGGTGTGATAAGAATTGCACTCAGCACTGAGCTATGTTTTGCCATCCACCTAGAGTGCTTGGTTCCAATTTGTCTGGCTGGGGTAGAGGACAATAACCTTATGCCTCATAATTACCTGCAAAATACTAGATGCTCACTTTAATCAGGAACAGATGTTGAATTCGTGAGGCCATCCTGGATGTGTACATGGAACATGTGTCAATAGTATACGTATATGTACCAAAGTTCCTCCCTATGAAGCTAAATTTCTCAAAATAACCCATGTAATATTTAATGGAACTGTTTATCATTGAAGAACCTACATGCATCCTAGCGAACATTCCATGGAGTTCAAGTCCTGAAAGCCATGTTGGTTTTAGTTTAATGATAACCATATCCCAAGGATTACCAAATAGTACAAAGAAAGGTCTACCTAAAAGACAAAATTGTGGGATGCTCTAAGTCGGTATGGAAAATTGTGCCTCTAGGAGACATTCTAAGGGACTAAGGGGATCCAGATCCTAAAAGCAGGGACTGTGTCATGTGAGAAAAGCACAGTACTATTTTCTGGAGGGTATTATATCATTTCTGTTCCAGACATGCAAAACAGGTAGCAGACATATGCATATGCAAACATGCATATGTTCAGAAACAGCATGCAGCTATCAGATGACAAGGTCAGTTACTGCAATTTGCAAACTGAAAACAAATTTACTTGTTGAACAACAAATCGATGAAAATAAATCTTGTTCAAATGAAAGACCATACTAGTATGATATTATGGGAAGCAGCATCATTAAATGCCAAAATCAGGTGTCATGTGCCCAAAAGAACTAAACATTGTTTAAGAAATCAAATCCAGTCTTCTCTCAAATTGCCTTCATTTGAATAAACAAGAAAAGGACTTAGCAGTGATGTGATGATTGCTTGCTGACAAATCTCTGCTAGAAATAAACTTAGACGAGGTAGTTGCAACAAACTCATGGCAAACAACAATCTGAGAAAGGATAAATACATAGTTCCGTCATCAGCAAACACTGCATTAATTCCAATCATCAGTATTTATACTGCAACTGTAGATTAAAAAGTGCTGATAATTTGGTGGCTTGATGTTACAGGTACCTATTCTCTGAGTGAGGTGAGATGTGCTCTGCAATCCTAGAGAACCAAGTGGCCTAGACTATTTGACAACTGTCAAAACAGAGTGTTTGTAAGAAAACAAAGTTTATATTATATGGAGAACGCCATACTTAGGATTTTTCCAGGGTTTGGAAGACCACCACTATCAGGCATGAAATACCAAATAGATTTAGCATTAATTAGTTTAATGCAAAACAATCTGTTCACCTCCTCTCAACTCCCGCCAGTGGAGCTAACACACTGCAGGCTTCAAAATGACGTTTCTTTCTTTGCCAGAGCTTATTTTTGTTCCTAGACACTTTATATCATTGAGTAGGTGGGAGGTGCTACATTGCTCGTGGCCAAGTTCTTTTCGTTTTAATTCTCTTTCCTCCTAAAGATAGTGTAATAATTTATCAACCAACTGCTTTCTTCCCTTTTTCTCTCCTGATACTGTTTGCAGTTCATGAGAACCATCCCCTTTTCCCCCTCCCCCTCGTTCACTCACTCGCTCTACCACCCTATTTTATTTTGTTTTTCTCTGGTTCAGTTCTTCAGCTGGTGGAGATTGCTGTAATGAAAGCCGCCTCTCATCCTTTCAAAACATGATACTATTCTCAAAGCAACTAGAAAAAGAGTGGCACTGCTCACTCCCAAGACAGCTGTGAAGAAATAAACAACATCTGTGAAATCCCTACATGGACATTTTAAATTGTTTGAATTGAAGTCAAGAAACTTTGGTTTCCCAAGGCTCTCGGGTAAGAGGTTTAGAATCACCAATTGTCTTATTTGTGCTAGTTAGGATATTAATTAGAAATATTATCTGGAAAAGAAACCTCTGATGCTTTGAAAGCAGTTTTTCCCCTCTCTCACTCTTACTAATCTCTTAAAACAAACAAACAACAACGACAAAAAACAAAATATCATCAGTTGCTGCAAATTTGCCCTGCTCTACTGAGTTCGGGTTATTGCAAATTTATTTGTGCCAGCTCAGGGTCTGCACACAGAATCAAAAGCAGCAGCTAATTCAGGGAAGAGCAACTTTTGAAAAAAAAATAAAATAAAAAATCAGGTAAATACATACTTCATTATTCAATCTACCAGTATGATCATTTGAGCTCCTCACATGACCAAGTGCATAACAGTGCATTTGTTTTTTTTTTTTTTTCCTACCCCACTGAAACTTGCATAAGCATCTACTTGCATCTTCTACCTGCCATGCAAAATAAATTGCCACAGAGAAAACACACTATTGTTGTCTAAAATGAACTAGAACCTGTTAAAGTCCAGGTTTTGCTTGGGATAGAAGCAAAGGTGTAACTAACTTCCCTTGAAAGCACAGAAGCACTATCATTAGGGCTTAAGTGCTTGATTTTTATATCTCCCCAAATTCCATGTGTGCATCTGTCCCATTACATACTCTATGAGTCATAATTATCTACATATCCACTTTAAACATTCTGGTGTTGCAATACTTAGAAATGTAAATGTATTATAGTATAGGCAATAACAACAAATGTATTATTAGGAATATAAACAGATATAAATGGATATTTTGGTTTCTTGGGCAGAAAATAATTTTTTTTTTACTTTAAAGACAATTATTTCAAATCATTGGAAAGGTAGTTAATAATCATCTGATCTGTTCATAATTGAGGGCTTTTCAAATACCGGATCATATGGCAACTACAGGGTCCACTGTGAATTTAATGGACATAGCTGAACAGCTGAAAAATCTTGATGCTACCTTGAAGTTTACAGCAGTCTGAGGACTAAGAGGATACTGTTTTGAAATACTATGCAGTTTGGTAGCCTTCTCTTAGCATTATACTACATACATCCTTGGCTAAAACTCAGGAGATGAAATATATAAATATTTATTAAGATAATGCTATAAACAAGCATAAATCCAAACTAGAAAATCTGATAAAGTTTGCCAAAAAGGCAAAAGAATGTACTAGAATTCTAAGATTATTTAATTATACAAGTAAAGTTAGACCATGTCCTTACATTGTACAAATCAATATATAAAAACTTGTTGTTACATGCTTTTTAGCAATCACTTATCCCTCCATCATAGAACGTAGCTATTTGCTTACCTGATGCTTTCTCTCACATTTCTCTCTCATTTCTTCTTCCTATTTTTCAGTTTGACCCCAAAAGCTGTAGTGTGTGAGGTTTCACTCACGGAACAAGTCTCACAGTTATTGGCATGAG